TTAGCTGTTGCCACATAGGCCATCAAAGCAACTAGTTCGTTTGACCTCCACCCATCGCGCATTGCCAAACTAACCTTCCACGCACAACAAGATCGTAAAAAGGCACCTGACCAAAAATAAAATTGTATTCTTTGACGTCGTCGTCGTGGAAAATGAGAATCTAAAATATGAAAGCGTCTTTGGTACAAATAAACTAGGTAAAAATAATGAAAATTAGCATAAGAAAGCATTTGGCGTGTACAAAAATAAGACTGTTTCGTTGAGCGAATCAGTGATTAGGGGAAACTTGATGGAGAACCGGGGCTAACAAACGTATCGTCTCTGGGATTGTCATGGAATTGGGTTTGCTGAGGAAAGGGAGACGCACTTCCGTAACGCCTCCGTTTCCACCAGCTTGTCACAGCTAGGGCATGATCTAAATCTCTTAAGTCTGAAAGTTTCATATCTGATAATTCCTCAATCGGTGTACTAATGTTGAAGTTCACGTGAACTGAATCCGGAGGTGAGAGCAGGAAAGGATTGACGCCAGGAATGTTGAGCTTTATTTTGGCATCACGGAAGCCCCCAACGACTGAAGTGGGAAGAGTAATCTGATTCAACGATGACACCAGCGACGGCTTCGATGACGGCGACCCAGAACAGCTTTGGTTGCTCTCATGTGCCGCTTCCTCTGGAGACTTGCGGTCACTCCTTGCTGAGACATGTGGCATGTCTTCGTCGAGTCGGAAAACGCCATAGGAGCCGCTTGGAGGGAAGATATCCATCGGTGACGATGCTGGAATCGCAGCATCATTTTCCGCCGCTGGTTTTGGAACTCTAATGCCGCTGTCCTTACTTGTTTGACAATTGCGCGGTAGCATCTTTCGAAAGATTTCAGTTCTGAAAGGTAAAGTATCTCAGGTGTCGAAATGTGCAAAATGCGGCATGTTAGTGCCCTGTTTACACTTTACGCAATTACGTGACTAGTTTCATCTTCTTAAGCCAGAGTGCTAGTTCTGTTTTGTCAATAGAATGCAGAGCGAATAGTGGCCACACCACCTAGTCCAAGGTGAAGCAAGGTCAGTTAAAACTGGCTCTAATTGAATGACGAAACGTCGCTATCATACGAGCACACGCGTAGGCGTGCGGCCAATGACTTGCGAGCGTGTGTGCGTGCATGCATACTCTCAATTCTCTAGAGAACCTAAATTTTATCACTCATTACGACGTCTCTGATGATGGCGATAACCTCGTAGCTTGTTTGACCCTCAACCTTGACCGCCCCAAATGCCTCATCATTATTTCCGCACGAAACTTAATACACCACGTAGGAGCAACGCATCTAGTTCGGTCAATGATCTTAAAAAAATGTAATCCTGCTGCGTGTGAGTCACCGCAATGATAAAGTAAATGAAAACGGTACCGAGTGAATTTCCTCCGAAACTCTTAGACACGCCCAGGGTCACTGCTAGACCTTAATTTCTGCAGAAAAATATGTCACAATATCTGTAGTCAAATAAGGAAGCGAGATTACTGCACGAAGTGACAGGAAGGAGATCAACAAGTTCCACAGTGCGTAAAAGCGATATCAGTGCTTCCTCAGTGAATTCGCCAACGCCCCTATTTGTGCAGAATCGAAGCGTAAGTTAAATCACAGCGTCATCCGTAAAAAAACTTACATGTCAGAAAGTAAGGCATTAATGGTAGGCCTGAATGATCCCCTTTAGTAAAATAATTTCGAAAATGTGTATTTCATGCGGTTACAGAAAACGCGGAGAAAAGGCTCGACTCTCCACAACCCACAGGCCGTATCGAGACGACAACTATGTTACGTCTCGCCTAGACTAAGAAAGTAACTGCGGTGTAGAAAATCATCAGAGAAGACTATTCTAACACAAATTTTCAAAGATATGTTCTATGTGCGGTTGCAGAAAACGTGTCCTGTGCTAGAAGTCCACATGAATAAAAGTGCGGCTAGCATGGTGAAAAGAAACTCAACATAAAAAAAGAGGAAAAAAGTGGGATATGAAAAACGCACCTCCTTCAACCCTGAGTATTTTCTAAATGGTGTGTCCCTCGGTGAATGAACGCATGCACAATGCACGCACGCGTGTGTTGCGCCTCGGTTGTCGATGATTGGCTCAGCTCCGAGACGTCAAGGCCGTGCGTGCGTGCGTGCAAATCTGGGGTTATGACGAATCGCTAACCAATCTCAGCTGTGTTGCCGTTTGCATCGACGACTCTAAACTATCACGCTTCACAACGAAGTACTCCCGTCAAACTCGAAGCCGAATGCTACCGAGGTCTTATTCAATCACATTGCTGATCAAAAACCAGCCTATAAATGAGTCAGAGATTAACAATGGGTGGTGTTCTCTCAGCAGCAGAATTGAACGCGAATTTGTAAAAGAATAAAGATTGTAGCATTAACTGCAACTTGGAAATGGAAGCAGCCCTTGGCAACGACACCTAGACAGAACAGGCGAATAGCGCGGAATGATGAAGGGTCTGTGTCAGCTCAAGGCATTTGAAGTGCCTGCTCTGAACCAATGGCAGTACGGCTTGTACCTCCACCAAGTCACATGCTCATTGGACTAGTAAATTGCAGTTGCCGTGTCGTCGCAAACACGTAACGAGTTCAACCAGTGCTGGGGCACATGGCGTGT